CTCCGGGGGAGTTCGTCTGAAACGTCATTCTGTGTTTTGGTTTGGGTTGAATCGTAGCCTCAAAGCTGTAGTGAAAACAAAGGAGTAAATAACACAATGAACACCAGCGGGAGTTTTTATCATCTTTTATCTTCAGGCTCCGAAATGTCCAAGATGCCAGCTCCCGGTCCCTGAGCTCCCAGAGGACAGGAGAGGTTTTTCATTTGAAAGCTGGCGTAGGTAGTAATCTATGGACCAATAGGAACCATAATTAGTGCTTGAGGAACATTTCTGGGGCACCAGCTCCTCGGTTGGGATATGCAGAGTGAGCCACAGAGTGACACCACATTGTACGCATGTTACATAATGAAGGCCTTAAAATCAGACTGTCTGTCTGCCTCATCCTTCCCCTTTAATTGTCCATACTGAGGGCACTCCTGTATCTGGATATAAAAGTGCTTTGACTGTTTGACTGTTAATGTTCTCTTTATTTTCTATCAAACTGAACTGCCAGCATTAAGGTTGTTTTGGTTGAGTTTGCAGTCCTGTTCCTGGTGTTTGAAGCTGGATGTTTAACTAGAGTCTGATTAATCCTTGGGCTGATTCGTAGGAAGTAAATAACCTGCTCTTAGTGCAGAAGACCCGTCCCCCAGGCCTGCGCGATCTTTTAATTCCGTTTGGTGTCACGGCAGCTTTGGAATTCAGGCAAGGAGCAAGATCGCGGCCTTTGGGCACAAGCAGGAATCAGCAGGGGTCTTTGTAGACAGGCGTTTTTCTTTTAATCACGCCGTCTTCCTGCCTCTCTTTCTCCCTCATCTTTTGTCTTTGCCTCCTTCTGCTCCCCTCCGCCGCTCATTGTCTCGAGTCCTCGTCATCTTCTTTGACATCCTGCGATTCAGAATGCGCAGGAAGTTGTCGAGGGATATCCGCATGCATGCGGGATACACGCAGACGAGCACGAAAGCGAGACCATTAAAGGCGCTGAGGGAGCAGAAACGGCGGGTGGTGGTTTGTGGCCTCATTGCGCTGGCTGCGTGGAATAATGGAGCGGGACGTGAGTGACTGGTTAGTAAGTGGAACAAAGTGCACTGCGGAGTTTCTGGTGGCAATAACAATGACTCTGAATTACAGGTTGTTTTGGAGTTCCCTGCTGAGTTTTACGAGCACAGTACAGTGAAAGGTGGAGACGGGGTGCTTGTTTGTTTCAGTCGCAGCAGAGGTCAAAAGTCAGACTGGAAGCTACGTCACCGGTGGAAGAGCGCGCTAGGGGAATTGGGCTGCTTCAGCCGCCTGTATTTGATTCGTCGGCTGCAGCGTGGGAGGTAGAGCAAGGAGGTCTGCCAATCAGGAGGTTCGATCCCTGGCTCTTCTAGTCTTAGTCTGCACGTCGAAGGATCCTTGGCCAAGATACTGAACCTGATGCATTCATCAGAGTTAGCTTAAAAGAAAAAGAATGGTTGTATGAGTGGGTGAATGAGGCTTGTAGTAAGAAAGCGCTTTGAGTGCTCAAACAGAGCAGAAAAGCACTATAAGAGTACAACTCCATTTACTCCATGTGACAAGCTATGTCATTGTCAGGTTTTCTTCATTTCAAATAATACAATATTATCATATAATTCTTTCAGGATAATAATAATAAGTCCAGAGGTCCTGCCCTGATGGTCACCATGCCAACACGAATACCAAATGTCAGCATGAAAATGAAAGCTTTTTTTTTTTTTTACTGCCGACACAATAACAAAGGTCTCCTCTACACATAAATGTCTGGGGCTGAAAATTCCCTGCTAGTTTGAAGTAAGCTCATCAAAGCTGGGCTTTCTCGGCATTAGCTGGCTTGACCCAACCTAAAACCCCGGGTGGAAGATGACAGTGTTTATCAACTTTCTCTGTTAAGCCCCACTTTCTGCGTCATTCTCGGTGAGCGCTCACATAACAAGGGGCATTTCACGCATCATATGACTCTTCCTCTACACGAAAGAGTCCCTGTGAGCGCTGCCTGCTCCAGTCAGAGACGTTATCAGATGATGATGGAGATAAAATCTTTAAAGAACATCAACTATACTATAACTATAGCAGTCAAATGTCACACAGTTTCAAATAATACGAGGGGGGTAATAATCTCAGGATTTAACACTCAGAGCGGTAAAAATAAGCATTTAAACTCGAGTTAATGTATTTATTTTATTGCTAAGTGCGCTCTCGGTGCTGATGTTTATTTCTAGTGTGGTGGCTGCTCATCGAAGCTCTGTGCTTTGAAACATGAAAGGTTACTGCCCCGAAGCAAAATAAAGGAGCCGTGGAAATCTCTTTGATTTCTCGGCAGATCAGAGTCAAATAAAATGTATTGACTGAACAGGTGTATAGCAGAGACCTGGCAGTATAAGAACATTTATGCACTTTCTGTATCACCGGCTGAATGCATGCACGCTCCGGTGACGATGTGGTGCACAGTTTGCTGAGCTTAACAAGTTGCACGTATAAAATGCGTTCCAGCTCCTAAAACCGAGCTGTAAATGAAGGAATCATTTCCTCCACCTGCTCCTCACTTCTTCAAGCATGTGTTGCCACGGCAAAACTGAAAACTCTGTGTTTAAGCTCAACGTAGCTCGCTAACCCAATAATCTCGCTCCGTGGTAAACCCCTCTGATTCGATTTGCTAACATCTGCTTCAGTATCCCAGGTTGCTGATGTACAACATATAGACATGATGAAGAAGTGGCTCCAGTCTGTTTTTAAAAATCATCCTGCTGTGTCAATAACACCTTATGTTAGCGTATTCACATGATAACACACCACAAACTCCTGTGTTTTAATGTCTTTTTTTTTCCACTGCGAGAAACAAAGATATTCCAGGTAAAGTGTCGTGTCATAACACTTGAGTTCAAACAAGAGACATTTGGAGGACTTTAACCCCTGACTGTGTTTTGACATGGTACAACGACCTTTTCCAAGCCACACCTGCTTAAAGAGATATGATACACGTTTTCTAATGTGTCATATGGCTGCTGAGTAGGAAGTTTAACACAAATAATCAGCAGGTTAGGTGAGCCTTTGCTCTCCTTGGTCCTTAACCTTTAGTCAGGAAGGTGCAGTATGACATCACGGTTCAAGTGGACTGTGAGAGGTTTACTGGAACAGGAAAAAAGATGGCACATGATGTATGCTGACAGCACAACCCAGCCAGCCCGTATTGAACTGCACTTACTCAGCAATCCTAGCCCACATCTGATTTAACTGCTGAAACACCTTGAGCACTTTTACATGCTTCATACGGCTAAATTAAAACAATGACTGAAACTCGGAGATGTGTCCTTTTAAAGCTGGTTAGACAAAAACAGAGATGAGTGTTGCTGAGTCAAAATGAAGACAGAGACAGAGTGGGACTGCTGTATGTGAGAAATGCTCGGCGATGGGCCCACGCCGTACCAGGAAGTGAGAAGACTCGGTGGAAAATAGCCTGCATTGTTTTTAGACTGACTGCTGGGCAGCCTGGAGGTTTAATGCGCACACCCGATAGTCTAATGAGTAACATATTGATTATTGTGGCTGGCCTGGCCTGGCCCTGGTTGGTCAGCTGTGATTGAAAGCCTGGCCTGGATTTTAAAAATGGATCCTGTGGGCTCACTGGCTGTCTCCGAGTCTTCTGTTGTGTAATCCCAGACTGCCTCGTTGATGTTGGCGGTTGTACTGTCTCTTTTTCATTGAGGATGAGTCTTTGTCACTCTGCCTGGATGTTTTGCGCAGATTTGCACAGATTCGCACACACTGGCGACTTTATACAGTCTAGTTATTGGCATCAGGATGACACTTCTGTGTGTATGGCTGAGTCCACACTTGGTCCCTAAAATGTGAATTGAAGTTAGTCAATATGCTGTTTATATACGCTCACTGGCCACTTTATTAGGCGCACCTGTGCAACAGCACGTTAATGAAACTGTATAATGAGACAATCACGTGGCAGCAACACAATGCATTTAGGCATGCAGACGTGGTCGAGACGACCTGCTGAAATGCAAACCGAGCATCATCCCGGTGATTTAAGTGACTTTGAATGTGGCATAGTTGTTGGTGCCAGACGGGCTGGGCTGGTCAGTTCTCTGGGTAAAAATTGACTTGTTGATGTTGGAGGTGAGAGGAGAATGACCACACTGCTTTGAGCTGATAGGACGGCAACAGTAACTCTCATAACCACTCGTTACAACAAAGGTATGAAGAAAAGCATCTAGGACTTGCTGATCGAATTAATGAAGCTCGTATTTCAGTACAGAGGCTTAGTTTACGGGATTAGTAACACCTGCATTTTACCTGCTATGTCATGTTAAAATGGTATCTTTATGGAGGGTCTGTTATAGACGACTCTCACAGAATTTTCTGAGTCAAAAGGGCCTGAAACTTTAAGCTGTTGTGAAGCTCAAATCCTGCAGGCTGACACAAACACAGAATAACTGAAGACTCTCAGAGGCACCAGATGGGGGCATCAGTTGCCCAGGATTGATCTCCTGGTGGACGCTGAGCTCCTTTCCCCCACTTTTCACCTTTTGAAAGTTGCTTTTTTCCAGGCTTAACTGTAGTCAGTCAAGATAAGGGTTTAAGGCAGTGTGTGCATATAAAGTATGGAAATATAGGGGGCCTACTGTATACTGTCAGCATAGTTGAGTTGTTGAGTTTTCTTTGTACCACAGCCTTTTTGTTCTTTTGGCTACATTTGATCTAAGTGCCTGTTGTTGTTCCCACATCTTCTTCTCTTTCCTGCTTTTTCTGATTTTCACGGTGAGGAAGATGATTTCATTTTTTTAAATTTCTTTATTTTTTTGGAGATAGGGGAGGGGTAGATGGTCTTTTGGCTCCTGCTGCAGTTTAGATCAGGTGATCATCTGTTACTCCTACTAGTGAATGGAGCAGCAGTGGAAGTTGCAAACCCCAACCACCCCCCACCCCGTTTTGTTTCTCTCCCTGTTAGGACCTCCGGCGGTTCCCCGGACCCCAGTTTGAAACCCACCGTGTTTGAGCCATCCCACTCTGCAGGCTCCATGCTACTATTGTCTAACAGGAGAGCGGGCTATTTGCAAAATAAAGGTAGCCTCCTGCCTCAGTGTTTGCCCCTACGAGGGCTGATTCATGCGAGTGGGGTGATTGTCTTTTCTTTTGCCCCTTTTAAAGTGAAATGAGCGCCTATCGTTAGCGGTAGTCCTCTGGGTTTTTCCTCCCACACAGCTTGAGCTCCTCGCCGGGTCGGATGCTGGAAGTCCTCGCCGATAAGAGATCGCGCAGAGCTCGCGGAGAAAAGCAGACTGGACGCGGAAGGAAGCAAAGGAAGAATAGAGCAGCATTTTAATACCAAATCAGGACACATGTTGAGCTAACGGCCCTCGCCACCTCCTCCCCCCTTCTTCTCCTCCCAAATGCATTTGTAGGCTCAGTCGCTTTCCCGTTACTGCGCGTTAGGAGAGAGCCAGCAGCTCCGAGGATCCCCCGCTCGCCGTCTTGGAAGGACGATCATGGATCTGAGCAAAATCGTAAGTCCCGAAGAGCCGATCGGGTTGTCTTTATGTGAGCTAAGGACGGATATTAAGAGAAAAAAGGAGAAAGCGACAGGGTTTGCATGTTTTTGTGGAGGTGGGGGTGGTGTCCAAGAAGTCCTGAGCGCACACACTACACTCAGCAGGGTGAATACATGCAAGTTGGGCTCGGTGCAAGCAGGGACTTGCTCTGTCTGCTGTTTACATGGCAGCTAAATGCGTCCGTGGGAAGTTTGGGTTTTGTTGTGAAAGCTCGGAGGTCTCCCGTGGGTTTATCCCAGGGGTTTGCGAGCTGCTGTAGTGAAAGAACAGCTGCATTTAGTCGGGGAAATGATGAAACCAAGAGTCAGAAAGCACACGATTGTGTTAATGCAGCCTACTCTCTGGAGGCTTTACATTTCTATTGCAAGTAAATGAAGCCATTCACACATTTGGCTTTAATATAGTGTTCTTCTGAGACCTGGAAATGTTTCCTGTGTTGACCAGAGCTCTGTTTATGCTGCAGGTTAGAGGAAAAAGTTCTGCAAGCATGGTTTAAATGCGCCATGAATGTCAATTACAGGATCTTATTGACAAACCTCAAGGCCAGTCTGAGTGTGTAGTTAAAGCTCTATAACACAGAATCAAGAGACTGGGGGCTCTAAGGGTGAATTTAAAGTACAACTTCTTCACAAGCAGTGATGTTTCCAAACTGGCGATCGATGTGGAGTTTATTCCACATTTGCCTGTTCATCTTCCTTTGACTCAGAGCGATGGGGATGAGGCAAAAGAGGTGCAGCTTGGACTGCTGAAGCAGGTGCACAAGAAGCCTTTCACAGTGGATGAAGGGGTTGCATTTTTAGCCTTTTGTACAGAAGTGTAAGAGTGTGTGTGTGTGGTTTGATGAGAAAGCCTACTCTCTAGTAATCCCCAACCAGGTTGGAGACTCAAAGGTTTGTGGAGGAAAAGCACAGCGAGTGTAAATTCTGCAACGATGCACCGGATCCTGACAGGCTGTCCATAGCTGGAACAGGAAAATCAGTCTCTCAGCTGTGAGGAAAGAAAAAACCTCAGCCGCCCACGTGAAGTCAGTCACGTGTAGACATGGTGTAGGTAGGTGTAGCGATGGAAAGCCTCCTAGGGCATCACCTTCCAGTTGCAATTAACAGGTTATTTTAGCTGAACCTCGAGAAAAAGTGGGAAAGTGTAAAGTATTCCAATCAAAGCTTTTCTACATGTTGTTTCTGCCACTGTCCAGTGGGTCTTGCAGACTGTGCATCACCGCTCCACCACAGGTAATCTGGTGATGCACAGCAGAGATGAAACACTGAGGAATGTGGCTGAAGGTATGCAGGGTGTGTTGTTTAGAGATGATGACAGCCCTCCAGCCCTTCCGCGACCCTGAAAAGGATAAGCGGCAAAGAATGGATGAATGCTTATAGACCTACAGTTTCTTTATGTAAATATACACTCACCGGACTCTTTTATTTATTTGTTTTTTACCTTCAGGACTGCCTTAATTCGTCATGATATAGATTAAACAAGGTGCAGGAAACATTCCTTCAGTTGTTGTGGCTTTGTAGGCTGTACATTCATGATATGAATCTCTTGTTCCACCACATCCCAAGGGTGCACTGTTCGATTGAGACCTGGTGGTTGTCGAGTTCATGTTAGTACAGTGAACTCTGTCATGTACAAGAAACCAGTTTGAGATGATCTGAGCTTGGTGACATGGTGCTCAGGAAATATCCTCCAAATCATTAGACCACCAGCAGCAGCCGGAATAATTGATGCAAAGCAGTATGGATCCATGCTTTTGTGTTGTTTACGCCATCGTCAGAATCTCTCAGCAGCAATAGAGACTCATCAGATCAAGCCACATTTCCCCAACCTTCTATTGTCCATTTCCGGTGAGTCCGGACCACGGCTTCCTGTTTTAGCTGACAGCAGTGTCACCTGGTGTGCTCTTCTGCTGCATCTGAATGTTGTGCATTCAGAGATGCTCTTCTGCATACCTCGGTTCTAACAAGTATTGCTAGAGTTACTGTTGCCTTCCTATCAGCTCGAGGTACTCCGGGCTTTCTTATTTGACATCAACAAGTCATTTTTACCCAGAGAATTGTTCTCTCTGGATATTTTCGTCCTCTTTTTTCCCCCCAGACTCTAGAGATGGTTGTGTAGGAAAATCCCAGTAGATCAGCACTTTCGGAAATACTCTGGCTAACAACCACACTACGTTTAAAGTCAATCAAATGACCTTTCATTCTCAGTTTGATGCTCAGTTTGGACTTCAGAATGTCGTCTTGAGTTTCTCTTCATGCACTGAGTTAATGGCATTTGATTGGCCGATTAGAAATTTGTGCTAACGTGCAGCTGAACGTTTGCCCCATTTTTGCATCAGCTGAAACAGTTTGTTTTAGATAAAATGAAAAAGAAGCCACGGAAGCAGATGATTGTGACGCCTGTGTATATTCGGTTATTGCTGTGCTGTGAGGTGGGGTGAGCTGAGGTGCACAGATGTGGCTTTTACTGATACGTCTTCAGGAAGTTGAGGCGAGGCCGTGAGGCTTTTTCACGCAGAGTTGCAAAGAGAGGAGGGGCTCAAAAGCCTGCCACGGGGATGAAGGGCTGAGAGTTTAATTGTGGTGGAGCCCGGCCTTCGACCTACGTGTGACTTTAACCAGCTGCCACCCTCCACCTCTACCCTCAGCGACGAACCCATTGCTGTTAGGTCGCACGCTCCAAACATCCCGGAGCTGTATGTTTGCATGCTTTTTAGTGGGCTCTTATGAGACTGCAACATCCCGCTGGGCTTATCTGCATCACCCATTGCCCCGTTATTAATGGGACAGGAGATACTTGGTGCATTAGGTGGAAAACAAGCTCCCAGTTACAGCCTCGGGCCTGCACATGACTGGCAGCCATTGTTACTAGGCTGGTGGCTGGTTTCACCTTCACTCTATGATAAAATTGTACATTGCATTCCAGATTCAGCTCGCTGGGTTGATAATGCTCCCTCAGTGCCTGCAGTGACACCTGTGTAGCATGCATGGGTTTGTCATTTTTGCTCCCTGCGTGCACATAAGAAAAAACTCTCACTCTGCCCTCTTTGCGTCAGTGCAAGCCTGAATTTTGAGAGATGCGAGGAGGCTCACACGGGAGCAGATTTGCACGTCAGACGCGACACATAACATGGTCCTGAAACAAGCAACACAGAGGGCTCTGTTCAGACCGGTGACCTTTTCAGCCGGGTGGAGTCGCTCTTGGAAAAATGTTTGGGCCAAAAACGCTTTTCCTGTTATTATCCAATTTTTTTTCTTTTCTTTCAATGGATTTGTAAAAGAATAAATAAAAACTGTTATTTCATGGTGTTGTGACCTCTGAGGAGGCTGCTTGTTTGTGTGAAATGCACCACGGTAAGGCGAGCTCTCAGTTTTACCACGTATACTTTTACTTGTGCACGTTGAACCATGAAGGCTGTTGTTTTATTTTCGAGGAAATAGGCGGATATTTTTAGTGTGTGAAACCTGAAGTCAGATACCGAGTGCACCGGAACCATGCTCATCGGAGGTATAGTCCAAAAAAAATGTTTACACCACTATATCATACTGCTGTAATCTGTGTTTTTAGATTAAACAGTTGGATTAGGTCATGTGTGTATATGTAAAAGGGAGGTTTCATAAGAACAAACACAGAAAGGCTTGTCTCCAAATCTGCACTTCCCCTTCACATCTTTGAGCTCAATGGTTTCGTTTTCCAGCTGGCGACTTTGCTTTTGGGTTTACTGTAATCTTTAAAAAAAGACATTAAAGTCTGGCTACTTGAAGCCAAATTTAATAAGAGGTGAGGCCTGGCTAAACATTTTTGCACAGTACTGTATTCTCCAGGTATGACTCCAAAGGTTTTTAGAAAGAGATAAGACACAGTACAAATATTGTTTTTTTAAGCATTTGATAGTATATGAATTAAAGATCATTTTGGATTTTTCTATATACTGAGCTGGAGACAAAACACATATTCAGTGAATATCAGACTTTTATTGATCAGCTGAGCAGAAAATGCTATTCACAGTGTGTGCGCTTCACATGTAAGCGTGCAGGTGTTTGCAAACAGATGTGTGTGCTTGATAAGTTGCGTCTAAATATTACGGTCTGTGAAGTGGGGAGAGATGGCATGTTCTTTTTAGGTTGTTATTTCAGGTCATCTGTTAGCGATCGCTGACTGCCCATTTTTAAATATCCGTGTTCCTAAAGGTCTGAGTGTATTCACACAAAGACACCTGGAGGGGATCTGGCAGGAAATGGAGACAGAGCAAAGTGTTTGGTCTCAGCTGCTCCCTGTCTGGCTTGACTGAGCAAGGTTTTAGCTGAAGGCGGGGGTGCTGTGGATTTGGGCATTTTTCAGCAGGCAGGAAATGGGCAGTGGAGGGTGTGCCAAGACAGGAAGCCTGACTGAGTGCCTGCAACCCCCCCCCCTTCTCTCCTTCACCTCCACCCCTACAGCGTCAGCCACAATGACCGTGCCTCCTCTGCCTCACCTCAGCGTTAACAGGGCTCCTGCATTCACAGCCTGCACGTTTCCTGTTTTCATTCCTTCCTCCATCCCATCGCTGTTTACCCTTTTTATAACAGAATAGCTGGACCGGTCTCGGCGGCAGCTCCAGCCTCGGCCTCCGAGACATCCGTCTTTAATTTAGACGGGTAGCTCAAAAGGTATGACAGCAGTTTGGTGTCTGCTCTGTTGTTTGGGAAAAGTGACAGACTTGGTGAAAGCATTCTGGGCTCTTGTCCCCTGTTGGGTGTGCTGAGAGGTTAAATCGGAAGGAGGAAACATTGCAAAAGGATTGGGAAAGCATGCAGCTGTTAAATACAGACACGCAGTCCTTCTTAGCTGTGCCATAATGAAGGTTTTAAGACCAGAGGCTTCACTTGTTGATATCATGCCAGAGTCAGAATCACTGGGAACATGGGTGAAGCTAAAGCAGACTCCACGGCCTGTCATGAGCTCTCTCCTCCATC